GTCATTGGACGCCGCTTATGTACCAAAAATGTTCAAACACTCACGAATAAGACCACTTGAAAAAAAAAAATCTAGACCCTCACGAACTGAAAAAAACTTTAGGCCTGTGTCTTACTTTCCATTCCTGTCTAATATTTTGGAAAAGGTCGTTGACACACGAATTGAGAGTTATCTGAAGACAAACAATCTACACGAGGTCGACCAATCTGCTTATCGCAAGTTCTATTCGCCCGAGTCTGCATTGTTAAAAGTACATCCTACAGTCTTTGGATAATAACAGTGTGAATATTCTCGTGATGCTTGATTTGTCTGCTGCCTTTAATACAATTGATCACGAAACGCTCCTTCGCCGCGTTGAACGACACCTTGGAATTACAGACAAGCCACTCGCGTGGATGACGTCATACATGACCGACCGATATCAGACTGTATGCATAAACAACAAACTCTAACAGCCAGTCCACATGGAGTACAGTGTACCTCAAGTGTCTGTCCTGGGACCCAAGAGCTGTGTGATGTATACAAAACCTGTTAGAAAAATCTGCCGTAAACATAAACTAAACAACTATTTCTTCACAGATGACTCTCAACTCTATTTCCCTTCATACCAGTGACTAGTATTAACGATAATATAAACCGTATTGAAAAACGTCTTGATGATAGTGTAAGTTGGATGAATGTCAACATGCTGAAGCTAAACGGCGACAAAACAGAGTTGATCAGCTTCTCATCTGAACATAACGCACAACCTGTTTCAGATGTTACAGTGACTGCCGACTGTTCGAAAATCAGTCAATCATCTAGTGTATGCAATCTTGGTGCATTTCTTGACTCAACCATGAAGATTGAACAACATGTGAATAATGTCTGTAGGAACTGTTATGCACAATTAAGACAAATTGGTCATACCAGACCCTATCTTACTGCTAAAGCAACACACTCTCAAGTAAATTCACTTTTACCTCTAGGTTAAACTACTGTAATGCATTGTTATATGGAACCTTTAAGCAGTCAATTACCAAGTTACAGCATGTTCAAAATACAACAGCAAAATTGTGATCAGAAACACACAAATTTCTTAATTGAACTTCATTGGCTTCCGGTAGATTATCGGGTCGAATATAACATTTTGACTGGTACGTAAAAATCCCAGTCACAAGCTTATATAGAAAATACGATGACGTCTACACTCCAGCAATGAATCTGAGGTCCTAGAATAACTCAGTGACATAAGTTTTGAGAGAGCTCTCAAAACACAGTAAAATAAAGAGTCCTATGACGTTAGTTTCATAAAACAACATACATGTACAACTTTGGCTACATAACCCGTGTTAATTATGTCTTCGATTTTGTGTCTAAGGGTTTTACTTTTTAATTTATTTCTTTATTTTTTACTTTTGTTTGTTCCTTTTAACAATCTTATTTTGTTCAAATCTTTTATAGGATTTATTTGTTGTTAAAATGAGCCTTGATTTTAAACTAAATGTGTCTGTATTCCTTACTATCCTTTACTGGTTTTAGTTTATCATTATTGTTAAATAGGTTTATTAAATTAATATTGTACCTTATGTCATATAAATGATTATGTTTTATCAGATTTATGTAAAGCACTCTTGAACATATATTATTTATGAAAACAGTGCAATAGCAATGTGGTATATAATAATATAAAGTAAAAACAGTAGACTTTAAACCATTTTTTAAAAATAAAAAATGGCCATAACTCTGACTAAATGTCATGGAAGAGTTGTAGAACTTTGCCTCCTGTTCTTGCTTGCAAGAATCCATATGAATTTTAAATTTCAAGCAAATACCTGTTCTGTTTCTAATAATAATCAAAGTATTAGTGATTTTACAAGTCAAAACGACTTTGATTCCATCTCGATTGTTTTCAGTTTTATATTATTTTTGCGGGAATCAAAAAGCCACATATATAATAAATTTTTTTTAGAAATATAATAAATACAATGCATTCATGATGTTCATTAAAAAAGTGGATACATCTTTTAGATTTTAGTCTGTTTTAAAGCTGCAAGCCTTCAGATGAGCAAAAAAATGTATTATAAAAAGAACAAGAAAAAAGATGTTCTTAGAGTTTACGAAAGGTAGAATAATCTAAATGCGAGTTACAATTTGCAATTTACCAGCTGGTCAACGTATAGCGGTGTGATATTTCTATAAGCGAGGTGAAATCATGCGATACGGAATAATAGATTATTAATTAGTCTAAACAAACGTCAGACTGAGCGTATTTTATTGATTATTTTATAAATCTTCGATAACAATTGCATATTTTGTATCGAAGATGTGAAGATATGACCGACAAACATTTCATCAAAACTGCAGAAGCTTAAATCTATAATTTGAAAAAAATATATATTGAAGGTAAACTGACGGCAACTGGTTTTGCGTCGGTGAATAACATCGCTTAAAACAAGCTTATATTAATATAGATAATTTCGTTTCCTTCTTTATTCTACAAGGATTATCATAACTGAGTTGCATAGCAAGTACCTTTTTGCTTCGATATACATAGACGCTTACAGATCAAAATATTTAAGTGTACGCTGGGTTTTTTTTGGTGCGATTAAATAACTGTTTGCAGTTAAGGTTTGATTGTTTCCATTATCACATCTGTTGTACATATTTTCCTATGAGAGAGAGCTGCCATATACAAAATAAATGTATCTATATAAGTGTTCCTATTTGAACTTAATTTTAATAATCATATATTTACTAGTGATAATCGGGAGTTGGACAATACATTGTTTGTAAATCTTCTTTCCAAAAAGTGATCGCCTTTTCAACAACAAGAGTCCTGTTTTTTGTACTGTATCTTGTTTGTGATTTATTTTTTCTTTTATTTTTTATTACACTGAAATTTCATACAGCGCACATCATTCACATAAAAGGCAACATACAAGTTCAACTTTTTTAACTCCAACTTGCCACTTAGGCAAGAACAAACAGCAGTTCATACACAATAAGAAAGGCATAAGCTTGCATAAGAGGTCACTCACAGAAGCATGTTAAAGGATTCCTTAGGAACCTTAACAATAGTAAAACAGGATATGACATTAGTCCTTATATTATGTAGTACATTTCATTCATCAATTTTTACATGTTGATATAGACACTTTTTAGTTTATTTTTTATTCAATTTTTAAGGAAGTTTTATTTTCCGATTTAAAAAAAACAACAAAAAAAAAAAACAACACTTCAAAGTAATTTATATTACTTGAAACACATCTAAATTAATGAAACCAAAGAGAACAATGTGAACAATTTCTCGCAAACACGTTGTAACCTAGCTCGCGTGTATACGTGTCAATCAGAGTTAATGATTAGCATGTAGTTTACTGATTAAACGATAGAAGGTAAATTGTCATCTACAAATACATAAAAAATGACAGTAAATACTAGTAAGTCACTTCTGTAATATTACCATATACAACTTAAAAAAGTTGCTACTAGTAATATCTTGAAACAATAAACGTGACTGGCAAGCGGCATGATTCGGAAGATGTTGTGTTCAATGCATATCTTTCGGATAAATTTTATATTAAAATAACTTTAATAAAAAATTTTGTTATTATATCATCGTAATTAGAGATATCGTGGATAAAATGCGTTTAAATTTGAAGTAAGAATTAGTCAATAAATTACGCATACGGGATAGAATATTTCTTAACAGTCACTCAAAATGTCTAGACACACTATCAGTGCCTCTTTACTTTAATGTAAGTAATACTTGAATTATTACACACTATATGAATACAGCTTTAAACCCATTTTTTTTCTTGGAATTCAGGCATGTTACCAATTCAATCCCCAAACCCCTCCCCTCTTACCCCGTTGCACACACCCCTTCCGATATATGCAGTTATTTTGTTCAAGTTTTCACGTATATAGCCTAAGATATAGAGAGTTTAAACATTGCAATAAGTAAAGAAGACGAAAGCTACGTTTCTGCACGATATTGTGTCAGTTGAGTTTCACAAGGCATGAGAGTTGCTCTACTTTTTTACTTTTTATACAAAATAGTACAAAAACACATATAGCAATTGTGAATATTAACTTATAACAACACAAGTAATGGCAATAAGTCGGATAGATAACTTTTAACTAGGACCAGTCTTAGGCAGACATATATTTTAAACCGTAAACTTGTGACATAGATGGATATGGAAAAAACATCGATTGTTTTAATATATTATATTTTCGACAATTACCAACATAATATAAATCTAGAGTGATAGATTAACAATAAAAAAGATACAAAACATACTCAATATTTTTCGTAAATATAAGAATTACAAAATGCCTGCCAAAAGTGTTGACAATATATATGGGTATATGGAGGTGATTTTAACAAGCAAAATATTGTATTTCATTAAATCATTTAAATCAAATGATAATTTTATCAGACAAATGTAACGAAATAATCTGTCGTAAACTTCCGTTAATAAATTACATTAAAAAAGTAGTTGAGGTCCAAAGACCTAAAAATGTCTGTCTAAGTTTCATTGTCTGCCTTATGCTGATTTAAATATACTCTAGGTCTGCCTAAAGTTTATGATATATTTCTTTGTAGACTTCTACAAAATGGAATCATTCATTAATTATTCCTTTTGTCGAAACAAAACTGTATTTGAAAAAGAAATATACTTTTATATATTTATTTAAATAATAAATAATTATTATCAGTTTTGATGTTAAATAGAGAAAATTATGAATTATTCAATTTTGACAAATCAAATATAACACAGCTAGTAAATCGTAATAAATAATAATTCTTATGTTTTAGAAATGTGGTCATGTCCCTTTCTGGGCAATTGTTTATTTATTTATTTATTTTTGGTACGATAATGATTGTACGTCGATTCTTGATTATTGAATTAGTATATTATCAGTATATTATAAAATGTAAAATGATAAACGCTGGACGTGATGTTAGGGTCAAATTAACAAATACACAAAAGGAAAAAAAATCAACTTACAAATGAATGGTTAAGATATCTCCTTATGGAAGCAAGTGTTTTCATTTCCCATCCAAATATGGTGTGATGGTCAAAGTTAGATAATCCAATAAGATGGAATTCGACATGTTTTGGAATGGAATGTCCAGCTAAAGGGATACTGAAAACAATAATTTGACAATTCTTATTCATGCTTGTCGCGAGTTTGACGTAAACCGTTATGATATCTTCAGATGCATAGCTTAATAATTACCTTAAATAAAAACATTTTTAACGGATTCAAACTTTTATTTGTAAGTTCATTGCAAGGATGAATGCCTTTGTTTCTATTTGTAAATAGTAACGCATTTGTTACTTTTGTTTAACGATAGAACTTCCACGTAATGCATTGAATTGTACTGTGCGCCCAAAGTAACACTTGAGTAAGCTGGGCAAAAATCAGGACGACATTTTTTTCCAAATGAAAATCATATCCATGAATCATTTTATTCTCATTCTACTCAATAAGTTTCTATAATTTGAAATCAAAATCAGTTTTGTTGTCTCTATCAGCGTACCTTGGATCAAATGTGTGAATTTGACAGTTGAACATCTTGTGAACGCCATCTTCAAATTCAAAATGATAATGTGATCTATGAAAGAAATTATAAAATGGTGAATTTAATATTACAGCATGAATCATTTTAGGTATTGATTGCTATTTGTTATCATGATGGTTTATAGAACAGAAAGAAATGATGGTCTATATGTATTTATTCTCGATAAAGTAAAACGCAATAGCCTAAAAAATGTTTTAACATAGAATGTATTCGTGATTTAAAACCATCTCATATATATGGTGTAGATAGTGTTGGTAGACATAATAAAATATTTTTGAACAAAATGTCATTATGCTATTTTCTGTAGAATATTTTCTGTTTAGCATATATATATATATGCTAAACAGAAAATATTCTACAGAAAATATATATATCTACCTACCCAAAAGAATAAACGAGACAGGGTCGTTTTGGTTTATATAAGGGATCAACACAAATATCATAGCCTGTATCACCTTTAGGTCCACATCTTGAAATGTTGTTACAATTCGTTTGCAGCGTAGTCACATACCTAAAGGTTGTTAGTTAACAAATAGTAAAAAGCTGACTTCATATTGAATAGGACACTGCACTGTGAATATCGTTTGAAATAAGTTTATAATTATCTCTTAATATACGGGAAAATAACAAATTCACCAAAAGTTTGGAATAGGTACGGTTATTAATTTCATATTTTAAATATTCTAATTTCTAATAAATAATTGGTATAAGATAGTTTTTCATATAATATGTGTACGTTCAATGCCATGTTCTATGAACAAAACGGTTGATTTACATACCGTTCATATTCTAAGTACAGATTTTCTTCCAAAATGGTGTTATGGGCGGTCTCTTTATAATACTCATCCTATGAATAGAATATTACATAAAAATGATGACAGTTTTTAATATTTAAATTACTCACTCATTTCTTTATTTGGTATTTACGGAAATGCTAGAAAAAATGTGTTGTTATTTTAAAATGTGTAAAGTAGATACATTGTACTAATTACACTATAGGGCAATTCAAACGTGTCCTTACCTAAATGAATAATAAACAAACTTAAATTTTATAAAGAAATACATAATATTCTACATTGTTTTATTGCTGAGGTGTCTGTGATTGCTATATTTTTGTCCATGGAACCGTTTTTTATCAATCAATTAAATAACAGCCCTGCCTTAATCCCATAGCATCAGTAATTAATAAATATATGTGAAAATGAACCTTACCAACTTACAGTAAATACGCATTTGCCTTGCACCTAATATTATGTTTATTTCTTTTAATGTCAGCGAATTCGTTGTCATAAATATTAATATCATTAACTCTCCTTCTATGTACATAAGATTAAAAAAAGGAAAACAAAACGAACACACTATTTTTGGTGTTACTTGCAAAAGATTGTCCCGCCAAACAATACAAAATTGGTACAAAACTTTTTCACTGAAATAGTATGAGCAGTTTGTATAAGTGAAAAAGTCTCGTGAATCTATGCTCCATGGGGAGGAAATCTTTGAACATGTCAAAATAATAACTACTGATAAAATGCTACAAATAATTCAGAAAAGTAGACACATGGTTGAAAAAGGACGTATTAATTTTTAATACTCACTTTATTTAAAAAGATATAATGATCCAGTTAGTAATGAAAATAGTTGTTAAAACCAAAAACTTGAACTTATGAATTCGCCTCGTTTATTTAAAAATAATTTATATTTTTTTATCAAAACGATAATATAATAGTGTGTTAATAGTACGTTTTATAACCTACCTTTTTTTCGACAAAAAGCGTGTTCTCTGTGTTCACCTTCATAATTCTATATAGCATTGATAATACTAAAATGGTAGATACAATGTAAATATATATATGAAGTTTATCCGTCCGCATTTTGTTGTATTCTCCTAACAATATCTAGAGATAATAAACTATACAGAGCCTTGCAATTGAACGCTTATACTATACAAAGGTGAAAGCAAAACAGTCGCAATGAAAAATGGGTAGCGCTTACAACAGTTAACGCTTGGTTCACATGACGCTGTTTATGAACCGAAACGCAAAGCTAAATTAATAAACGCATAACTGAAATGCAAGTAATGTGAAGATTGTTACAAATATTGCTAGTTGTATGAGTAATGTAACAACCGGAATGAGTTTGCACATAATTCCGTTTCTGATAACCTCAAATATCTCCCTATTATCCTGAAACGTGTTTTGGACGTGTTTTGAATTTCTCCAATTTCAAATCCTACCATTTACGGTAATTATACCTTGTTTATGGGATTTTTTTCTCGATAAAAACAATTAAACATATATGCCAAACTTGTTTTTGTAATAGTGTTTAAAAAGTGTTTTGTTATGACGATTTTATTCTAACAAATTAAAAAAATAACTAGTCAAAATGCATTAAGAAATTAAATGAAACATTAAATGGGTTTATTGGAGCTTCAAAAATTCAAAATAATGAATGCTGGAAAATGTATTTCATTTCATTGAAGGCTTGGATTCACTTTTTTTAAACAAATCAATGAAGTCAACCGAAATGTAAATGTACAACTGGACATGTGACATAAAGAATATATTATTTATGGCATGACAATTGTAAATTTTAGTAATTGGAGTAATATTTTAGTATAAAACGCCAATATTGCTTAAACAATTCAAAATGATTGCATGCGAGTATGATCCTGGGACAAATTTGGATAAGGGATATACAATCAATTTTCTCACATACAAAAGCTCATTAACACAACAAATGCACTTATAGATAAAACAATGTTAAAGCTTCTTTTCTTCGTAGAATAGCGGCATTCTTTGCAAAGTTTTTGCAAGGAAATTGGTATCGTAAAAACTACAGACGGGAAGAAGTTGAAATTTCACACACTTATATGAGAACCTTATAGAATTTCAATTTTTGAAGCCCATAACTCTTTATTGGATTATAAAACATGATAATATAACCTTTTTAATCTGAGAACATTGTTTACACTCCAGATCTTATCAACTTCTGTTTCTATTATTCAGTGCTTAATTAGTGCGTTAGCATAACATTCTTTTTCACAAATACATCTTGTAGTGGCAATGTCACCCTTGTTGGTTTTTATGTCCAGGGTTCAAAAACGTTCGATTACATTGGCCATATATCAATAAAGCGAATTCCGACCAATAACTCGACAAACTCGTTGACCCTTTCCCCTAATCCTTCAAAGGTACATTGGCTAGGGCCACTTTATTGTCCATGTTGATATTAGACCAAGCGATAAACGATAAGGATCAAATATACATTTTGTAAAACGATTTCAGGCCAATAACCCGACACCATCAAATTTCACAGGCACATTGCCAGTATATGACCTTTATTGATTCCGTGGTCAAGGGTCAAGGTAAATTTATTTTTAACGTAAAAACAGTTTTCAACCAATAACACAACATCCACATGACCCTTCATCTTTAAACTTTACAGGTGTATTTGTCTTGTCCAATATTACATTTTGAGATCAAAGGGCAAAGGTTAAGGACACATTGACGTTATATATAAAAATTGTTTTTCGATCAATTATTTAACAACCAATGAGGGTTTCGTCCCCAAACTTCACAGGTGCATTGGTCATAAGCATATATAATTATATAGTTTGTTGGGTACGTAGGTCAAAAGGCAAGGTCATATTGACCCGGTATAGCAAAGTGGTTCTTGACAAACAAATTAAACCATTGGCTTTCAAACTTCATAGTAGCATTGTTTTTTAAGCACCTAATTACAATTTCTGATTCTTGAGTTGACAATTTAAAGTCAACTTATCTTGTATACTTAACACTTGCATTACTTGGCTTGCATAACCTAAAATACATGTTCAACTATACATATATTGTTTTTTTTTGTGTCTTCATATTTGGAAAGAACGCACGGCATTATCACAATATCATCAAGGATCAAAATAAGGCCCATTAACAAATGAAAAGTTTTCAAGTTTTAAATAAACATGCCCACAAACAAACCTTCTTAAAAGAATTGACTGATTATAATTATCAAACATATTTAACAAAAAAAAAAAAAAAACAACAAAAAACACCCCTCCCAAACATCGTTGGGAACAAGTTTCCGGACAGTTCCAGATTCCAAAAATCCATTAAACATTCCATTAAACGACCATGATACAAATCTATGATAAGGCACTGATCTATCAAATTGACATTTTATCTTCTCTTTTTTATTATGATATCCTTTTCTTGTCAACTATGGACACTACTTATTGTTTGAATCTGGGCATTTGAATTACTCTACCAATATTAAAAAAAAAATATATTGAGGTAATGTTAGTGAAATATTTAACCTCAGTGCTTATAACACATTTTATTTCAAACAACATGAAAGAATTATATAATATAGCGCACATATTTTATTGATAATTTAACTATATATACATTAGAATCATCAAAATTTTGTTTTGGAGGAAACTTGAGTTTCGGTTGTTTTGAACACATGTTCCTTGTAGCTGCAGTTAACATACACTTTTTCTCAACAATTATCTTTGAACATATTCAAGCCTCTGATCCAGCTTGTGCAAATCCAAAATGGCCGCCAAAATCTAAGATGGCCGCCATTTATTTTTATTTTTTCAAAATATTAAAGTTTTTTAGCTTTATTCTTTACAGGTCAGTATGAAATAGCACCACTTTATTATTTTACACATTTATATATATTCAAACCTCGGATCCAGGTTGTGCAAATCAAAGATGGCTGCCAAAATCCAAGATGGCCGCCATATTAAAATTTTCAGAATGTAATAGTTTTCAGCTGTTGTCGTCATTACAGAACAGTATAAAATAAGACTAATTTAAAATTATGGCATTTCATATTTATTTATATTCAAGCCTTGGATCTAGATTTTGCATATCCAACATGCTTGCCGAAATCCAAGATGGCCACCATGTTGAATTTTTCAGAATATGTTAGCTTACCAGCTGTAATCATTTTCAAATTAGTATAAAATAGCACAAATACATTATATTACATGTTTTTTAACCATACCAGCATAAAAGACGTATTGTATTTGCCTTCGTCGTCTGTCTGTCTGTCCGTTCGTCCGCATTTAGCTTGTCCATCCTTCACAGGTGAAAATACAGGTGGGATTTCAACTTAACTTTACAGGAGTAATCAGTGCCTGTCCCGACGAGATTTATCGTCGATGCAAATTAGATTTTGGACACAGAAAACTTTAACTTTATTTTTTGTACTTTTAGAGTAATGTCCCGAACACAGTTTAAAGTGGGATTATAAAAAATATGGCAATGCATAGTTATTGTTATGGTTATTTTACAAATATTCCCAATTAATCTATCTTCCTAAAAAATGTCTTTTTCCTATTTATTATACTTTCAGACCTACGTCATGTACAATGTTCAAAGTGTAAAATTGAACAAAAAGCAAAAATTCCAAAATAAAGCAAGACAAAGTAATGACTCTTTTGCACTGCACTTCTATTTATTGTGATATATCTACCTACAGAGTTTCTGGTTGATATCTCTTATAGTAAAGGAGTTGTATCCCAAACAAGTGTCAAATTGTAAACATGAACAAAGGGCATTTACTCCAAAACTTGGAAACACAGAGTTACAGATAATGAGATCGATCTACCTTAAAGTTTCACGTTGAAGCCTCCTGTTGTTTCAGATTTATGTTGCGGAAAAAAAGCGGACTGACGGCCATTTTTGGGATCATAATAAGCAAATTTCCTGACGCCATTTAGGCCCCTAAGTACAGATGTATGTATAGTTTTGCAATTGTTTACATTTGTGGAAGCCAATTGACTTTTTTTAAGAATGCAATCTTGTTTTTATGAGGAAATTGGCGATGGAATTATTGACGAAAAAATATATCTTGTACATAGATGTCTCTTGTACATTTCAACATTTTTTGGTTTATTTATAGTGTTCTTTTTCTTGAGGGTAAATTTTTCAAAGATGAATTGTTGTTTAACAAAATTTTAATCTAAAATGGCCGAAGGTTTACAAAGGAACTAAAATTAAAATATTTCTTTTACCATTATATTGCTAGTTTGTAGAAGGCGTCTATATTCAAGAATGACAGAAGCCTGATGTCACAGGAATCCTTCAAGAAGTGTAACCACACATCTTCAGAAATAGCAAAATTACATTACATGCTTATGGTAGATGTATAACCTTAAGATAACATACTATTCCTAAAAAACATTATTTAATCTTTCAATCCTGAACAATATTTCAAGCGACACGATGTTTTCAAGCAAGACGCCATGACAAGACTGTTGTGGAAGTATTTTGACTGTTTAATTTATGAGCTAATAACAAGTTAGGAAGGGTTGAACAACTACGACAAACAATTTTAATAGTAACAGAAAATTTTCTATTTAAAAGGAATGCTGCTTTCATTTTCTAAAATTTTACTTTTCAGCTAGCATTCTGGCAGATGTAGTCAAGGCCATTTCGAACTCCCTTCGATTTTTATCATGTCATTTTGGACGTGTTTTGAATTCCTCCAATTTTAAATCTTGAACTTCAGCTCTTCTCCTTTGTTAGACAGAATAAATCTACTGTAAGTCAGTTTGGCTAGCCTGGTCCAATATTGTGCACATTCCTTTGCACAGAGAGGCAGACATATTTTTTTCACCTTCTGCAGCATGTAGCTTCTGAGGTTCTGGTGATCTTTTGTCAAAGGTATTGTTTTGAACTTTTGTCTGTTGATTATGTCCGTCTTTTTTCTTGGAAAATGCTAAGAACAACTTTTGAAAATTTTCAGCCTGCTGCAAATTTTATCATCATTGTTTCTCAGACCAACACCTTTTTCACCTGAAGTATGTGAGTCAATTTGTGTCCAACTAATCTATCAAGCACTGATGAAGCTTTTCCATTTTTTCATAACACATTTATTTGGTAGTGCTAACTGGTAGTCATAATTGCTGCGTGTGATAAGCCGATTAAAGTCCATTATGTATTCAGATTTTTCTCTGCATTCATTACAAGTCTTGCTAATATTCGACAGGACTGCGACACTCTTTGCATGTCATTTATCTCTTTTATTCTGTTGCCTTCCAAGTGAATCTACTTTGAAGGAGCTTAACTCTTGATTATAGCATCATTATGGACTTCCTCTGTTATATCATAATGTTTCATACGACATTTTTATCTATATTTAGGCTATGTTCAGCAGTCGTCTAGAGAGTCTCCGTGATTTTAAGTTTCATTTTATTCTTCCTTTCAGTTGTCCATGGAAGGTTCTAAAGAACGGTTTATGTGGTTCAGCCACAATGTTGCTTTTAAAATGAATTTTGCAATAATCACATGAAATGTAGTTTCATGCTTTAAAGTCCCTTTCATTATTTTCTCTTCTTCCAACTTCTAGAAATCCATCTTTGCTTCTTGTCAACACCTCGTTTCCTTCGTTTGCTAAGACTTCCAATTTCACCGTACGTTCTTTTGATCGTTTTGGCAAAAGTAAACATTCCATCACTCTAGACTCTACATTGTGAACAGTTAACAAATGACGTGAACTTTTACTTTTGATAGCGTCTCCGCAAAAAGCACAATATTTCATTTTATCCTATACTTGCTTGTATCCAGTTTTTTTATGTTGTTTTGGGCTTGAAGCTTATGTGAGCAGAGTAACATTACACTGATACATAACTTCAACAATACTTTCATACGAATGATATTTGAATCACATTTAACAGACACTGTAAGGAAATAATTTGAACGGTTCGGAATTACTACTCTTTCAAAACCTGAGTCATCAGAATAAACTGACGTTGCTTTTTCAAGGTAAACCTTTGCCGGTAACAATTATCTACAATTTTTTGTTGCAACTGACGGTAGCTAAATATTTCGATGTGTTATTACCCGTACTATCAGGCACATTGTGTGGATATTCAAAACTGTAATCCAAAATATTTTCATCATAAAAAATAATGAAAGTCAGCCTTATCAGATGAAGATGCAAACTTCATTTTCAATGTCCTCACCCTCATCTTCCTCTAAATTTCAAGCTGTTCTCAGATAGATTCTAACAGTCAATGAGGTTTATCAAAATATTTTACAAGACAAATACATTTCACAAAATACATAATAAAATATATTTGACAACAATTCAAATTACAATAAGAAAAAATTCCAAAATGAATGAATAGAATAGATAGATAAATAAATAAATACATTAATAAATAAATAAATAAATAAATAAATAAATAAATAAATAAATAAATAAATAAATAAATAATATAGCATGCTTTGTAGTAATGTATACGATATTATATATATATTATTTGTTAGATAAATCTAATTTAAATTAATTGAATAAAATTATCAAGTATTTGTTATCAAGACAATGAAGATATTATGAACTTTTAAGTGATCCTATTAAAGCAATGAAAGGAGTCGTCAGTAACCAAGAAATATTAGCTCTCCCAGAACAAAACCATCTCAAAATAGCTTGCATACCGAAATCAATCATGCATAACCCAACGTGCAAAACCAGTTCAATCACCCATAACGAAAGGAAAAAAAGTCAAGCATGAACAAATAACATAGATATCAATAGATTTGGTCTAGCCTTTAAGGGGAATTACCGTATTTATTATATAAACAAAACTCAAAACTATTTTAACCTTATCTACATATATGTTTCACAATTACCAGTTATGTCAACGTTCAATGCTACATATACCACTTTCAGCAGTAGCATCAATCTCAGCTATTTCTCATTTGTACCGCAATTCCTAGCTGTGTCAAAATTCTGAGATACAGGCATTTCACAACCTTTATCAATATCGCCATTCCAATGTTTGTCATCATTCTAATTTTACCCATCCAATCTGTACCTCCATGCCAAGTTATTTTAATATCCCATCTGCATGTATTTTACCACCTTCATAAATATCACAATATTCATATTTGCCACTCTCACAATGCCCAGTAACATGTATATCACCACCCTTTCCTTCATCACGATGTTTAGTTTCAGTCTCAGCTTATTCACCATCCTAATATGTACCACATTTTCAAATAGTGAAAGCAGATTAAACCAGAGCTATATCTAATTCCCCCATAAAAAACTTTGACATTTTGAACAAAAATTGATCTGAAGAAAAAAATTGAGTTCAACCTATAATTGATGAAGTATCAACTTTGTACAAAGAATAATTTCAATTGCAATCCCAACCAGGGTCTTCAAATAAACTTGTCATAAACCAAGTTTGATTACTATCTCTTAGTTATTTAAAGCAATGGTGACCTTGACCCTAGGGGGTCCAAATGCAATAACAATCGGGGTCTTCGTATAAGCCTGCTATACCCAATATACCCAAATCTTATTTTTAACCGAAATATTTATATTCTATTTTTAGTAACAATGACCTTGACCTTGACCCCATGAAATTCAAATGAATACCAACTTATGTGCCCACATAATGTTGCTATATACCGAGTGTTATTACAAGACCTCATTCCTAACCCTAGTTATTGTCCAGAAACCATCAAGTGGAGAGCAACAGAAACTGACTCCTATATACCGCTGAAATTTGTTTGTGGGGTATAGTATGTTTTGTTTATTATGAATTACAATGTTCATTAAAAAATTGCCCCAGGCACTCATAAGTTGCTGAAGTTACATTTATGTGTAGCTTATGGCAATTTGGCACTCTTGTCTACATTTGAACCACAATAATGGGTTGATTATAAGTTATTTAATATATTCATTTATAATTTTCAGCTAAGGGAGAGTTTGAGAAAAACAGACAGTATGAGCAATGATTTTGTTAAGGTAATACATGGTTTTCTAGTCTCTTTATATCATGCATTGTTCTTGAATTTATTGTCTTATTTAAGGATAATTGTTTCAATATATCCTTTTGTTGAAAATGCCATGACCTTATCTTTTTTTCATAATGCAAGTTTTAATGTCAATTAATTCAAATTAAAAACATATGTATTCAACTACATTCATAGTATTGCTAAGTAATATATTTTGCCAATTGAAAAGGTCCAGTTTTGCAAAAAAGAAACAGCAGAAATATGAACATTATTCACATTATTATGTACATGTATATCAGGGTTCGACGTTAACTTTTTCAATAGCTGGACCAGTGGTCATGTTACTTTGAAAATCTACTAGACCAGACAAAACATGAACTAGACCAACATTTCAACAATACTAAAACATTAAATATTTGAGCTAAAGTCAATGTCTGAGTTGCGTGATCACTGTATTAACAATTTTTCTTAATGATGGTCATATAATAATTTCTGCACCTGCTTGAATAACAAGAGCTGGCTATATATGCACATATTGTTCAACCTGCATACATATAGTTTAGAAATTATAAAGGATATACTATCTAGGAACCAAGAATAGAGCTCGAGGAATCCAAAATCACACGTTTGAAGAATCATCCATAAATGTATATAGAATGAGAAGGGCTAAATCAAGGGACTGGGCTTGAAGCTAAAGTCATTGTCTGAGTTGTGTGATCACTGTATTAACAATTTCATGTTAAAGTTTTGAATTTGTTCATATTTTCAACAGTTATCTTTTATTCATCATGAAAATTCACACAATGATAGATCGTAAGAAATCTTGCCTTATGTAATGCCAATAACTCTTCCTTGCTTTTTAACCAGGTTTTCAAGGAAGATGGAATGGTGTATGTTGTTGGTCAGGCGGGCAGGCGTCAAACTTGTTCTATCAAATATTAAGGTCAAGTAATCATAATGATTTTCAGGTCAATAGGATCAAGGTCACTGTTACTAAAAATAGATTTTACGTTTATGTCAAATAACTTCATGTGTCAAGGACCAGCATATACAAACAAATTTGTGCCTGATGTTCTCCCGTTTTGATGATGTCATTAAGCATATTAAGACGTCATAATGAGTTATAATGTCATCAACATTCTAGAAGGTATTATATATCTTCCTAAACCAAGCTAAGCTAAAAAAAGAAAAACAACAATAAAAAATAATAAACATTTGCAATTATTATCGTTTGAGTTACAAGGATCTAATATAATGTCAATCTATGTTATGCCATATGCTTGCCTCTTCATCACTTAGTGCATAATATTTAAGAATAAAAAGAAAGAAAAAATAGCTGGAAATAAATTCATCTGGTCAAATATTTTTGTATTATACAACGTCATTGTAATTGCTTTATTTATAATGCCACTGTCAAAATTTTACCAACACTCAATAGTTGTAGTCCTGTATTGCAGAATCTGAATTCTAACTTGATATTTATTTTTTTTAAAATAGAAATAGCCTCCGTCCGACCTTCCCTCCAACAATTTTGTCCGGAGCATATCTCAAAAAGTATTTGAGGTATTAACTTGAAACTTCATAGGTGGATAGACCTCATTGAGGAGGAGTGCATTGCACAATAATGATAACTCTACCCTGCATAATTTTTGAGTAATTGCCCTTTGTTATTTTTCAAAATTAATTTTTGTCCAGAGCATAACTCGAAAAGCCGTTGAGATATCAACATGAAACATATTAAATATATGCACGTATTGTTCAACCTGCATACATATAGGAAGTTGCAAGATTTCTGATTTGGCACATATTGCTGCTGCCTTGTTTGTGGGTCATTAACTTATAAACTGTACATATATACGCACATTTTACATCCTGCTTATATATATATATATATATATATATATATATATATATATATATATATATTCACACATATCTTCACTTACGGGGCCTATTTATAAGACCGAGTTGAGTGGCATTATTTCATGCAGTCAGTTTTTATATACGCCACTATGTAGGCATAAAATGAGCATTTCCATACAACAGAACTAAGGGGTACTAAGTTATATATATCAACTATATATTTAATTTTACCATAGGTGAAAACATATTGACTAATAACATAAAACCCCATAATAAATATATACATTTGTGGGACATATATCATTTACTACTAAAACCGGCCTACGGGCACTATGTTAGAAGGGTAGCCTACGCCCCCATACATCGTTTTAAACATGCCAGATTTGCGAGGCCATATGTATGCCCCACATTAAATATACACCCCACAAGTATGGTCTCAAATAGACCGATGCCCCGTAAATGGAGGAATGTATATATATATAGGTTTGTGAAAAATATTTGCATTTACAAAATACCTTTCAAAAACACTGGATCCCAAGATAGATTCAAGAACGTGGAAAAAAAACAATAAATTTGGAGAAAATATACGTTCATACAGTGCTAAAGTATAAATACCCAAGTACTTTCGTCGTATTATGCCTTCATCAGGGGTGTATTACATGTATAATGTGCACACAATCGAGCACAAAATCTCAATACGTGTGTACTGTATAGTATCAAAAATTGAACTGAAACACAGTCGCTAGAAAGGTGATAAAATTACATCGATTATGAATAGACCGTTATTGAATGGTCATTGTGTAGTATTTTACAAAAGAGAATATAGCCTGCGGTCAATATGGCATAAACTCGGTTAAATATATCTATAAAACTGTGTTTAAAAGAAAAAAATATATATAAAGTAAAAACATAAAACTTCACATATAAGGGCGTATTGTGTTTATATTACTATAAGTATGATGTAAGAAAATGCAAGTTACAAACAGTATGATGTTATATGAAGTGGAAATTTACGATAAGGTGAAAGTAAAAACGAAGCGCTCAGGCAAGGGAAAAATAGCCCTCCCCGACACCGCCTGATGACTAAAGCTTCTTCCCCGTGACACCATTGCATGTCAATGTCATCTATATAGCGTAACCAACTGAATGGTTTAAGAGGTACTGCAGCTAGCAGTTGTCCTTCTAATTTGCCCATAAACACGTTGGCGTAAGATGGCGCCATTTTATTCCCCATAGCCGTGCCCTGTACCTGTAGGAAATGTTTGTCACAGAAAACAAAGTTGTTGCATTTCAGAATAAGTACGAGAAGTTCGATAAGTGTTTCTGTGGGAGGATTCTTTATTATAAGAGAATCCCATGCTTCTTTGCACGCTGCAATGTCATCTCCGTGGGGGATGTTAGTGTATAATGCAGTAACATCCATAGACACCAAAAGGGTTTGGTCAGGTAAATCTTTCTGAGATTCTAATCTTCTTAGATAATCAGTGGTGTCCTGCAAATGAGAGGGCAAAGCGCATACAAATGGCCGAAGATGGTGGTCAACAAATTCTGAGATACGTTCTGTTGGGTGACCGTTGGCAGATACAATGGGGCGGCCTGGGATTCCGTCTTTGTGTATTTTAGGAAGAAGGTAAAATCTACCAGCTTTAGGCTTAGGGACTATTAAGTAGTCTTTAGTCATCAGGCGGTGTCGGGGAGGGCTATTTTTCCCTTGCCTGAGCGCTTCGTTTTTACTTTCACCTTATCGTAAATTTCCACTTCATATAACATCATACTATTTGTAACTTGCATTTTCTTACATCATACTTATAGTAATATAAACACAATACGCCCTTATATGTGAAGTTTTATGTTTTTACTTTATATATATTTTTTTCTTTTAAACACAGTTTTATAGATATATTTAACCGAGTTTATGCCATATTGACCGCAGGCTATATTCTCTTTTGTAAAGTACTACACAATGACCATTCAATAACGGTCTATTCATAATCGATGTAATTTTATCACCTTTCTAGCGACTGTGTTTCAGTTCAATTTTTGATACTATACAGTACACACGTATTGAGATTTTGTGCTCGATTGTGTGCACATTATACATGTAATACACCCCTGATGAAGGCATAATACGCCGAAAGTACTTGGGTATTTATACTTTAGCACTGTATGAACGTTTATTTTCTCCAAATTTATATATATATATATATATATATATATACTAAGACAAGTTCCTTTATTGGGGTCCTTGTATATATAAAACCCTTTCTATGGGGTCCTACATTATAGCGGGGTATATATAGTGCCCCAGAAGATTTTTTCGCTGAAGCATATCTCAATTTGCAACTCTGCGTTCAACTGAATAATGTGCAGAACACAGTTTGAGAAAGACAATGAAATTTGAGTTGCCTCCCTTCGCCCTTACCCGCCAATGATATTGCTGGTTCTCGCATCACAATAAAATATATCAGGGAAGTCGGGAATCAACCGGTGTTTCCTGTAAAATTTCCGCGAGCGGCAAAACGCAAATGGCGAGTGTAAAATAGAGAATTGGTGTTAGGTAAGTGTGCTAGTATCTATTCATGCAGTTAAAGGCATAAATTATTGGATCCATTATAAATATAAAATTTGCTTTTGTTTGTCATGAAGACAGGATAACATTAACACAAAGACGCTATTTTCTACTTGCATTCAAAGGAATACCCTACCCACTTAGTAATTTTGCGACATAAAGAAAATGTGACAGCATTCACAAACTGGGGTCAGGGATGGAGGAAATTCGCAAATGTGGTCCTAAATAAGGCTACAAGAGTTTTCAATCCGCAGAATTTTCGACCTCAGTTTTCGACCCCTAAGAGTAAGAGTTACCTACCCATGAGAGTTTTGGACCCCTAATTTTTAAAGAGTTTTCGATAATGGTTTTCGACCCCTTGTGTTTTAATGTATGGCAGGCTTAAATTTTATTTTGCTTTACAATTTAATCTGAAACTTGATCAAATTACATTGAAAATCATTGGCATCTGATAATGCTTTAAACACTGTTAGATAAACATCGCACATGGGTCATGATTTCACGCCTAATTAATTAAAGCGTGGCGATAGATCAACACCACGTGTCGATTATTAATAGTGACAAAGTTGTATCATTAATGAATACACAATGAAGTAGGTGGATGGACTAAAAAAAATCTTAACATTTGTACGACATAAAAGATACACAAGACTTCAGAAAAGATATAAAAAAAAATCTGTGTAAATGATGTCAATACCTAATTACATTTTCTTTCATAAATGACTTGGTAAACAAATCAATAGTATCAGTTAAATAAATTCGCACTACAGGTAAACACAAGATAAATGCAATGTGTCGTTAAAAAACTGGCGTTTTTTTGAAGAACAAATGGTTAGTAACTGGGTTTACAGCTGTCCATGCATAGGGGGAATATTTTTTTCAGTCAAGTTAGACAGGTTCAGCAATGATTTCCTAGATATTAATTAGTTTTTCATCAAAAATATTTTATTCAAAGATGGGCCTAGTAGACCTTTAAAAAGGTCATGTGAATAACAAATAAGGCAAAATAAATTTATATTTTTAAACACACATGATACAACCATACAAAGTAAATATGCTTCATTTCTTTACTCAATATATCATGTATATACAATTATGGGTCGAAAACTTTTACCAAATTTCACCTTCTAGGGCTCGAAAACTCTGGGGATTGAAAACTATCGTCAAATTTCTGGGAGTCGAAAACGTCCGATACCCTAAATAATGAGACAAAAATCTATATGGGTATTGTTCACCATTGTGTTGTGTCTGGCATGATAAAGCAATTTTACTCTGCATCAAAATATGTTGATAATTTGACAGGTTGTTCATTTTGTAGGAGAATTGTCCATTTCATACAGATAAGATTTGAGCATTTTTATTTTTTTTTAATTCTTCGAGATATATCTCTTATAAATGTATGAAATGAAATATTTTACAATATTTGTGACTTTCTAAATTGAAAATGATTTTATTTGTCACTTTAAAGTAATAATTATTTAATCGTAGGAGAAATGTCCATTTTACGTATGGGTCCTTTTCGCACTCTATCCCTACAGATAATTTGATTAACTCCTAGTTTAGGTCCCGTGGACTACACCAGGAGAATATTTAGAGAAGAAAATATGTACCCCAGCCTGAGAAATTAGTACTTGTCCAGTCGCCATGGACAAGTGATTATTGTTTCGGACAAGGAACTTTTTCAAAAAGTTTGTGAAGAGTATATATGAACATTATTCGCATTTAGTAATTTGACAAGTAGTTTCAAATCTTAATTTCACAGACTGGTACCCAATTGACTGCATGAGATAAAAAGCTATGTTTATGTGAAAATTTGGATGCTATATTGGAAATAGGTTTAGTGATTTTACTTTTAATATCAAGAGTTGTTTTTCATTAATTTTGAGATCTGCAATTATGCATGGTCTTACCGTAAGACGAGATAATATGAGGTGATATCTAAGACTTGTTTAAATTATCCTAACTCTAAATTTTAGCGAATGGCTCAGAAAAATAATTTTAGCGAATGGTTCAGAAAAATAGTATGTTTTTTCCCCCTAACAGAGGTAAAACTTCCCCCTCAAAACATAGTGTTAAAGAAAAAATGAAAACTAATGTTGTTTTTGAAAATTAAAATCCCATCTATTTGATGGCTATTTTGTAAGCGGAATATCGTACACGTGTCTGCACGTTTCCGTTTGTTTTTTTCTCCCAAAATCTACCGTCACATATTGGCCTTTTATCCTGTGAAAATGCTAAAATTTCATCAGAAATATGCAGAAAAAATCACAATTCCCATCAACAATTCGATTTCAAATTGTTTATTCAGGAAATCATTTTTTTTGTCTTCAAAAATCAACCACTGTAAATTTTGTTGTAAATTACAAACTTGTAAGTTTTGTTCTCATGATACTTTATGAAATAACTGATGGAAAACGATCTTATAATAAACAATCATTTACAATTGTAAATGTTTAGAACGTACCGTAAATATTTAGACCGTACCGCTTTTCAGGTATGTTCAGTTATTACCGACAAATTGTAGCGTCTTTCTGTAGTTGAAGAAAGCAAAACAAAATACAATATCAGTTAATGAAAATATTTGATAAAGCACTAAAAGGAAATGCATTTTAGACCATCTGAAAAGGATGAAAACCCAGGAGCTTCCGAGGGCTTCGCCCCCTGGTCCCCCGCCAAGGCTCTGCCCTGGACCTGCATGGGGGGCCTACGCGGACCCGATGAACCTTCGCATTTCAATTTTCCTCTTTTTTCCAAATTGTCTATTGGCATCCCTGGTAAATAGAAAACAGCTTATATTTAAAAAGTTTATTTGATATTTAATCATAAAAGAAAATAGGAAAATTCCCCCATACACTAAAATCCCCCTGCTGTGGGTAGCGACCCACTTCCCCCAAATTGGATTGAGGGCCCTGTTTGGCAAAAAAAATCAATTTGTGAAAATTGTCGTAAGTATGACTTTGGGAAAACAGATTAGAAAAATCTGACATCATGGACAACTGAGACAATTAACAGACAATGGCACTTATGTTTGGCAAATAAACAACAATAAACATGGCCAACAGGGATTGGTGTCATTTACATTAATAAGCAATTGATCAATAAGCTCTGTCTGGTATGTAAATTTAGCCAAGTGCTCATCAATTCAAGCAAATCACAATACTTGATACATACTGTGCAGATGACTCACATTGGTAGTTTCCAGATTATTTCTACCTATATACATATGAAGATCAAATTAATTATTAATAAAATGACTTTTTGAAAATGAAAGTGCTATGATCTTAAGTAATTGTAAAGTTGTTAATTTTTGGAAATACGCCATGCTTATTTTTAAATTATAATTGGTAGTTATAAAAAAACACCCTGACCATTTAGCAATGACTGCTGGTCCCTTGCAAAAAAACATAACTGTTTTAAATATCGAAACTACCTTATTTTTGAATAACTATTGATGTTGACAGCTGACATCAAAAAGTTAAAGCAAGGTACATGTCTCAGGTTACAGTGTTGAATAAAAATGATTTTGATCAATTTTCTTATTGAAAAATTGATAAGACAATTCATTATGTAAGTTAATAGCTCCCTACATTTGAAAAAGAATAATACTTATAAAATGCAACTTACTGCAAAACAGTGCAAAGTCAACTTATCGTGGAACAGTACTTTGTTGATAAAAAATTGTTCAAAGAAAATAAAAGCCAGCCCTAGCCGTGTCAACCATTATTAATTTTTTTCATTGCTTATAGTGTTCAGTGTGTCATTCAAGAATTATCATTTTTAGTCCATTTTGAGAATTGTTTACATGAGTACTTGTATTAGAAATATATACAGCTGCATCGTCAAATCATCAGCTTTGAGTTCCTGTATGACAAAAACATCTCAAAAGGTAAGGCCTAAAATAAAATTCATTTTGTTTCCCCTTCCCTACCTACTCAACAAATTGTCCACTTCCCAAAAGATTTTTTCAGGTTCAGTAAGTTGTCTAATTCAAAGACTAAATTGTCAGGTCTCAGTATATATGATGTCCTTTGTTTGGTCCCAGTATATATATGAAATGGTTAGTGGGGTCTAAGTATAAATAATCTTGTTTGTGGGGTATTTCGGTATTTTTA